TCCATTACATGGAAAAAGCACATTAGAAACCGAAATCTCAGGCTCCAATCAAATACAGTATGCAACGCATTTCGCTGGGCCTTGTCCCCGTCCGCCATAGCGTACTGAGCCACAAGCGCTTTTTGAGTGACCCATACGTATAGACGCCTAAGTGACATCAGCACCTCCTTGAACACCGCCGTGATATTTTGCGAGTCTACAAATAGCGCAATCAAATGGAATCCGCGAGAACGATCTGGAGCGCCTACGACTATCACAGGGTAGTCCACATGATTAAGTTTTATAGGTGGCATCCAAATGTAGTACGAAGCTCTGAGCTGGTTGCATCAAACGCACCATCAGCGCTTTGGTAGACAGACCAATAACGAAAGGCCTCTCATCGGAGCTATTTTTGACGTCCAGATTGCCCTCCTCGTCGTGATTCCACCCAAGCGCGAACGCCTGTGTCATTTCTTCTCTTCCAGTAAAAGCGTGAGCATGGATCCAAACTTTCAGTTCATTTAGACGGTCGTGATTTTCTAAATACGTCCGTGCGTAGTAATTTAAAAAAATCTGAACCGTATTGAGCGACGGCAGGTCCACCAGCGAAGCCCCGAGCTTCCGCGATAGCGCCAATCGGATACGCATAGGACGTAAGTAGCTCACAATAGAACTCCCTCTGTGTACATTTTACCTTCTTCATTTTAGATGAGGATGCGCTCGAATCATGCTAGCCGAACTCGTAGATTGGGGCGGAGGTAGTTTCCATGCAGCTCACAATCTTCCCTCACCAAGGGTATTTGTCAGGGCTCGCCTCAGCACAAAACTCGGAGCTGCACTCGAGCCGGCGATAGCGCATCTTGTGCTCCGAGTCTGTACACATGGAGCAGGCTAGCGTGCTGCTCTTCGTAATGTCAAAGGCCTTCAACCCATCTAACACCACATCTGCGTCTGTTTGGCTGACGTTGAGAGCCATCTCGCGCCAAGGGATACGCCTTGGCATTTTCCTCAGGTGGTTCGGCGGACAATTGCTGAAGTTTGCACACAACAAAATACCATGTGTAGTACGGCTTTATAGCAAGCGCTGGTTGGATATAATGACCATGTTTCTCGGGGGCTTCGGGGGACATTTGTTGAGGTCTAACACACCACAAAAGTGTCGTGTGGGACACGGATTTACAGCAAGTTCTGGCTGGCTAAAATTATCAACAGCCGGCTGCTAACAGAAACTGAACAAATGATCAACATCAACGATTAGTTATGTGCTGCCGCTGCACTTTTCTGTGATGCACTACGTTCAAGGTGCTGACACAGGTTTCATGTGTCAAAACAGGGCCCTCTAGTAGCTATCATGCGTTCTCAGAGCACAGTTACTGAGCAGAAACAATTAAAGGGAGGTCAAACATAGAGGCTCAATTTCGCACTTAAGAAGTCAATTTGCATGTTCTAAAGCGACGACTCGCACAGACACTGCTGTGGCACCGCCAAAGACTACAGGGGCGCGTACTGTCGCCATGCTATGAGTGTAGCCGTCTGTGCAGCATCTATTAAACGGACGCAGGGCGAACCACCGGGCTGCTCTCAAGCTGTCTATCGCTTCTTAGAGCAGGTGCCATGGGGCAGCTGACACTATAGTAGCAGTAGGCACAAGGGTAGGTAGAAGAAGTGCGGTTAAGACAGTAAGTGCCGGGGCAAAGCTCGACAGGACCGCAGCGTTCCGGTGTGGGGCATTTGTTTGCTGCTGATTGCAAAAGTTGAAGTGAAACACTGCCACACACCCGAGCGCCGGCGTTATCTTCAAGTAAGTATATAGTAGACATCAGTAAGATGCCGTCCACTGCGGCAACACTTGTACAGTGGCTCACTGCCCACCATGTCTCGATGCTTACAAACATCAGTATGTTTGCACTCGGTCCCACTGCAGTCGCGAAGCCGGAGTACAGCACAGCCGCATTGCCGTGCGTATGAGCGAAAATAGGATAGGGACTTGTACCGTAGCATGTGTTGTAGGGACTTCAACTCACATCTATCTCCAACATGTGTGCTGCACGACGCGCCTTGGGGCACGCCGGAGACGGGTGAAGAGCGGCGCAGCCATACACGCGCCTTCCTCTATTGTCATGCTGGTCTGGTCGGTGGGAGGGAGGATTATTTAGGAGACAAAAAGAGCTAGATGGAAGCCGTCTTCGAAGGTGGCTTACTTTTAAAGTGAGCAAGTTATTGTAAAAAATGTGAGCGTAACCCGAAGGGAATTTTGAGCACGTTTTTTTGCAATATTCGACTCCCCCTAGTATGAAACACTTCTACACCGGCCAAGTTTCCAGTTTTACCAGCTATCTTGCAAATGGCCCGCTTGTGTGATCTAATTTAAGGCTGTGTGGAGTCACACCATTTTTAATTTTAGGCTACGGCATTTGGCGATTTGCATGAAAAAACCACTTTTCCCACGACTTGCATTTCTGCCCATCACACTTTTCAAGCAGGTTGCAAACCTGGTCAAATACATAAAGCCTACGCTACCGCATTGAAGTGCATGGCTCATGGTGCTTCAAGAAATAAAGCCCTCCAAAACATTTTTTATTGTAAGACACCTTAAATATTTTTAATATGGTACTGTGAATGCTGTAGTCGCTGTTTGGCTTTTTGTGCATTTCTTTCTTCTCTGAATAAGGGGTACCCTTGAAGCGTCAGAGCATGCGATAACGTAGGCTCTATGTATTTGACCAGGTTTGCAACCTGCTTGAAAAGTGTATGGGCAGAAATGCAAGTCGTGGGAAAAGTGGTTTTTTTCATGCAAATTGCCAAATGCCGTAGCCTAAAATTAAAAATGGTGAGTCTCCACACAGCCTTAAATTAGATCACACAAGAACGGGCCATTTGCAAGATGGCTGGTAAAACTGGAAACTTGGCCGGGAAATGGTGTAGTGGTCGTGCGAATACGAGCCCAAAACAAAGAAATTTATTTTTATGACCAAACCGATGTATCAGCACGCCTTGCAGATAGCGCTAAATTGATTTATAGTCGCCTTGCTGAGGTGGAGACCAATTTGCTCGTTATTTAGTGAGATGCAAAACGGGGAAGCTCTGAATTTTCTAAAGAAAGCGAAAAAAACTCGAGCGACAGTAAATTTACTCCTGTAAATAATATTAAAAATAATGAATGTATATTCGAAACAAAGTCTGAAATTTAAAAAGTAGGACAGCTCATTTCATATTGGTACATCCTTAATGTGGCACAAATCATACCAGTCCTTTTTAAAAGCAAACAATTTTCGAAGACAGGTACCGGGTTGATCACTTCCAAAACGACAATATCGTACTTCTTGGGGCGCTTTTCTTAAGTTGCATATTCTCAAATGCATAGTTATGCTTGATATAAGTCAATTTTACACCATTGCACCCCGTTTTTAGAATCAGAAATCGATCTTAAAGAGCGCATATTTGAAGTACTTTCTTAACTAGTACGTAAAACTTCGACGCAAGAAGTTAAGAAATTTACTGGAGTTCACCCATTGGGTTATTTTAGCTTCGAAAGAGAGATTTGTGTCACCCAGTTTTCTTAAACATTGTAAGCAACATTCACTGGGTGAATGGGTTTTGATGTCGCCACAGGCAACATTCTTTGATGTTCACCGGACATTCGTTTTTTTGGTTCAAAGTGGTATCCATTTACATATCGAATTCGTTCAAAGAGAGAATACCACCACATCTTTCTGTGATATAAGAAATGAAACAGGAGAAACAGCACTACTAAACCTTTTGAAACCTTCCTCACACCGTTTAGGCTGTTCTACAGAGCAAATTTTATTCACGTCCAGTGTTTCATATCGTGTTCCGTGTGAAACACGGCATTAGTTTTTTCTCTCTCATTTGCATAGGTATCGTTGAACTTTGATAAAGACAATGAAACAAATTCACGGATGTCTCGACGTGGTTTTCATTGCGTTACAGAACGGCTTCTGCTGTTTTGCTCCATTTTTAAGTGAGGCGGCTATCATCATCAGCATTTTATTATTATAAATACGAAGAAGTTAATGTTGCGGCGGGAAACTCTCAAGCACCAGCGAAGCACAGGCAAAAAGCCTGCTAAGTTACCATTGCTGAATGACGGACGATATTTTTGCTGACGCTAGTCAACGAATGATAGCGATACCCGCCTCACTGCCCATTTTCATTTTAACTGCACCAAAGAAAACAAGTTGTTGCTTCCTGGATCATTCAACACGAGATTGGTCATTCGGCTGCTGCGTAAATCAAACATCTTAAAGTGGTAAGTACGGTGCATGTATCTACTGTCATATCAGCGCGCAATCCAAGGTAGATTGAATCTGGGATGGTGCTGCTCATGATTACTTTTTTATAATTCGATTGTCACGATGACACTCTTCTTGATTATTGACACTCCCTCGAAGAATCTACCAGTGGTAGGCTAAACTCTACCTACAAACTTTCCCTTGCAAACATTCGCAATACCGTACTGTAGATGGACTTCGAATCACGTTGAATCATTGTCCGTGGGGATGGAAATACCATCCGCACGGGCAATCATACTGTACCGGATTTATTTGGCTTCTACACGTACAGTGTAGTCTCCACTGTAGACTACAGTATACATGTGGAGCCACCCATTAATAATTCCCTCAGGGAATCATGGGGTTACCTTAAGATCCATGGTGTTACCTTAATGCCTCACACAGTGTTCTACGACGTGGAAGACACTCATGCTATGTTTCTCCGCGAATTGCTGATACCGTATTGGTAACAAACAAACTCATGCGATTCAACGAGTGGCTGCGGTTTTTCCGGCGGCAATCGTGAGATCGAGCAAATTATGCACCGTCTACGCACATCTGTGTGGCCAGTTTGAACTGTCTTGGCCGGACCTTCATCGTAAAACTTCACTTTCGCAAGCGACATATTCTTTCGGACACAGAGCGTTCTTAACACGACCGTTATTTTAGCGCTGCAACGTCTGCCAGTTTCCAACCTGCCCTCTCGCATTCACTTGTTGCGGTGGTGTCATGGGAAGCGCTCAGGCTGGCGACATCGAGCACGGCTTGACTCCGCGTTTCTCATCAAGCTCTAACCGCGCCCCTCGTCCTCCCACTCCCACTAAACCGTCGCAGTACTTGGCACTCGAGTCCAGCGATGCCAAGCACTCGCTGCGTGAACAATGGGACGAGAGTGTTGGTCAAGGTGTCCGCAGACTTGCTCGCACCGTCCGCCAGCGTGCACATGCCCCGCAAGTGTCGACGGCCGAGGTGATGGGCAAGCTCCGTCGCGACGTCAAGGACTCGACGCGCTTCTATTGGCAGAATCTGCTGGTCTTTCAACGCGAGATGCTCTGTGGCGTGGCTGCCATGCTGCTCATGATCCCAGAGACAGTCGCTTTCAGCTACGTGGCCAATCTGGACCCGCTCAACGGTCTGTACGCTACGGGCTTCCTCGGTGTAACCGTGGGCCTGTTCGGTGGCGTCCCGGCCACGGTCGCTGGTGCTGCAGGTGCTGTGGCAATGGTGATGCCGACTATCACAAGTAGCACAGGCTCGTTGCCCAATTTAACGTACGAAGAGCGCTTGCAACATCTTTTCGTGGCCGTGACCATTGCAGGTATACTGGAACTTCTCTTCGGTCTACTCAAACTGTCGAAGCTCTTTTCGATGATCCCTCGAACGGCACACATTGGCTTCTTGAACGGGCTGGCCTTGATGATGTTCATCTCGCAGAAAACGACCATTGAGGTGTGCAAGAACGACACGATGCGCTTTGGAGAGTGTGAGATTGCGGGCGACCTCAAGTGGATGAGTGTGTCATCGCCCACGACGTGGGTTACCATCGCTCTGGTGTTGGTGACGATGGCCATCATGCATTTCTTTCCCAGAACGCCGTACATTGGCCACTTGATCCCACCCACGCTGGTCACAGCTGTGATCGGCGTCGGGTTTGAGTTTGGTATCAACCGTCCGCTGCTTGGCTACGACGTGCGGACCATTGGCGATACGTCGCCCCTAGACGGTGGCTTACCCACTTTTGCCGTCCCCAAGTTTGGTGATGTGCAGGACTGGGGCGTTGTGTTGTCCACAGCTGCGAGTATCATGGCTGTCGGGCTCTTTGAGTCGCTGATGACGTTGCAGTCTGTCGTTGACTTGAAGAAGGAGCAACTATCGCAGACTGCCACACGCAAGGAATGTATCGCACAGGGCATCGGCAACGTGTTGTGTGGATTCTTCTCGGGCATGGGAGGCTGCTCAATGATTGCGCAGTCCAATGGCAACATCTTGAACGGCGCGCGTTATCGTCTGTCGTCGTCTATGGGCGGCATCTGCACGTTCCTGGTTGTGTTTTTCGCCAGTTCCGTGATTGAGCGTGTCCCTGTGGCTTGCCTGACTGGAATTCTGTTCGTGATCGTCATTCACACGTTCTACTGGCCATCGCTCAAGCTCATTTTCCGTATTAAGCTCACTGATTCCATTGCCATTATCCTCGTGACGGTGCTCGCTGCTGCCATGAATCTGGCTATCGCTGTCATTGTGGGAGTTGTCTGGCAGTGCCTGGTCAATGGTTGGCAGAGCGGCCATTTGCTCACATTCCACACGGGTATGGAGGTCGTTCCTGTTGTCAACGCGCACGACCGCAGTACTGACCACGAGCTTCTTACGAGCCACCACGAGGAGGCGAAGATCTACTACGTGAAGGGCCAACTTCTCTTTTCTTCGGTGGCTTCCTTCCGTGAGTTCTTCGATGTTCAACACGACCCGAACGTTGTTATCCTGGACATGCGTGACTGTATTTTCGCTGACTTCTCGGCTGTCGAGGCGCTGCGTGAGGCTGCGATGAGATACCGTGATGCCGGTAAGACGCTCGTGGCTCGTAGTCTTGATCCCAAATCGCTGGATCTGCTGCACCACGACTTCGGTTGGGATTTGGTCGAGCACATTCAGATCGCGACACCGGGAACGGCTACCAATGGTGACGAACTGGCCAAGAGCAAGATCGACAAGGAGCGCACTTCTCGCTACTCACGCGCCTCGCGGGCGTCTCAGGGTTCGCTGCACCAGCTTCACATCCCTTCGCCTTGCGAGAATAACACGCCGTATCGCGCTGCCGGGCCGTAAACCCCTTCGTAACCAAGGGGTGAGGAGTGAAACGCGTCAGTGGGAGGGATGTTTGGTAAACCTAGTGAATTTCTACTTACGATGGTGGATCAGATCTTAGATCATGTCAAACATGTGGCAGTGAACCCTGCGCAGTGACAACGAACCGCCTGATGCCCCCCCGGTGGGTCCACTGAAGCCAAGCTACAAAGTTTTTTCTTGCAGAGCTATCTTCGGGGCGCTAAGGTGAAGCAGACCCCCCCCCCTTCCCCAAGCAACCAGCAGCATTTAGCAACGCCGTTAGCATCATAACCCTCACCGATTCTCCTGCTCAAAGAACATATCAAACCATTCAGGTTTCCAACAAATTACTCAAATTGTGTAGATGAAATGTACTTCGTAGCGAGTGTAGGGAATGAGCATCCACCCTTTGAAAAGCAGTACTATGACTTATGTGTCCTCCCTCACCTTTGAGCTGTTAGTGGGCACTAACAGCTAAAAGATGATGACTCATCTGCTACCTGTAGGTAGTACTTACAGGCGCAGCAACATGCCATAGACCTTACTGGCGATGCTGAGCAAATTCTCGGGGAGCTCAATGCCGTTCGTAATGCTCATCGAGGTGGAGTGCGTGCAGAGAGTTTGCTCCTCACGCGACACGAAGACTCAGTTCTGGAAAATCAGTACATATCCCTTTGAGGGTCTTGTACTGTTCGTACCCAGACACCTCACCAGTCCATACATGTACAGCAATCGTTTGGCGCAACTTTACTTGCCGCACGAAACAACTTTCGAACAGCTTTTGCCGACACACCCAATAAAAATGACAAATCCACACTGGGAAGCTCATTCACTGCGTCGTTTTCCTCGTTTCTGCCTTGTGGTGCGTCAGGTTTGCTAGAATCATCATCGCACTTTGACGCGTAGAGATTTCATCGTCCTGCAACAATTCCTCACATAGAGTAATAGCGCCTGCTGCAACAAGTATGTCACAGCACTCGCCAGTGATCGAAAGCTTTCCCAGCACACTTAACGCCTTCGTATTCTGGACCAAGCGACTAACTCTCAACAGAGCCACGAGCGGAGGAATCCCACCTGTTTGCGCGATTGCCACTCTGCCTTCGTCGTTCGTGGAGAGATTTAGCAAAGCAAGAGTTGCGTTGATCTTCTGTCGGACGCTGCCACCCTTCACCATCACCAGCAACGCAGGAATTCCTGTCGACGCTATTGCATCCCTGTTCGCATTATTCTCTGCTAGATTTGCGAGTGCTAAGGCAGCACTTTCTCTCTGCTGATCGTTGCCGCTGTTGACCAACTTTAATAGCAGAGAGATACCACCCGCAGACGCAATAGCCTCCTGCATGTCACTGCTTGACGCCAGGTTAGCCAGCGCAACTGTAGCAAGCACTGTCTCCTCAATGGATCCTTCACGTACCAGCGATATCAGCACCGGAATGGCACCTGCTGCAACGATCGCCTTATGACATTTGGAGTTTCTTGACAGCAACTTGAGCACTATCAGTGCCTGCTCTCTGTAGACGTGCTTCGTGTGGCCTATAAATTTCATCGCTTGTGAGATGCCACCCGCAGCCACGATTGCGTCGACGTTGCTCTCAGACGCTGACCAGACGACCAACATAATCAGACCTTCGGATTGCTGAAGAGAGTCACCTTCCCGCACCATTGACAGTAGCAGCTCTGCTGCGGTCGTGCTGTCACGACCATTGACGGCGTGCACATCGTAGAGTTCTTCGAGAGCATTCTCGTTTGCGTATTCTATCACCGCTCGAAGCTCTGCGTCGGTCGAAAGATTCGACAATACCTGCGCCGCGTAAGTTTTCTGATTTACGTCGCCGACACGCTTCAACACCATCAGACTAGCAATGCCGTCAGCAGACGCGATGTCCCGCTTGTGCGCATCGCTGAGCGACAAACTGGCCAGCGCTTGTGCAGCGTACTCCTTCTCAATCGGGTTTCCAGTCCGTAGAATCGCCCGAAACTTGGGGATGACTCCAGCTGCTGTGATGTCAGGCACGTTTTCAGCGCATTCAGATAGCAGCGCTAACACTTGCACGACCTGCTCTTGGAGAACGCCGAAATCATCTTGCATCAACTTTACAAGTGGCGGGACAGCACCAGCTTGTACGATCATCGCCCTGTTGTAATAGATCTCCGCCCGGTTAAATAGGGCCGTCAAGGCATTTCCCCATTGGGTGAAAGTTCCAACGCGAAGAAGTGCCACAAGTGGCGGGATCCCGTAACGAGACTTGAGAGCAAAAATGTCGTGGTATGCTGATAAGTTTTGCAGCACAACAGCAGCGTCCTGGTTCATTGCGTCGTCACTGCA